GGCGTGTTGAGATATATAGTCCCACATTGGTTGTATGTGCAACTAATGTGAAATTTATAAGGCCTTGGGCACTCCCACCCTTTGAGCTAGCTTTTGGGGTGGTGACCTCAAGGTTCTTAACAGGTTCAAAAGCATGTCTATCAACTTAGAGAACAATTGAGTGTAATATAGCTCTTACAATTTGTCAACAAAATCAACATCAACGTCAAATAAATGATAGAGACAATAGGAAATAAGGACTAAAAAGGGTCTTCTGGAACATAGGAAATAACTGGTCTACTCCTAGACAATCCTAATAGATGATAGAGACAGTCCTCTATAATAAATTGAACAGTAGAATGTTGGAGCAATTTTTTCTAGAGAAATTATGAAGTTTATATAAAATAGATCTTTTAGTGTCTCATGATTGACAAAGAAGGGAACAGATGGCATTTTTTATCTTTGTTGTTTTCTATTTTGTAGTTTTGTTAAGGGAGATTCCTTATCCTCCCTTCTCTTTGTAATATTTTTCCTTCATCTTAATAACGTTCTTCTTTTATCTGAAAAATGACCGGCAAATAATGGAAAAGATCGTCAAAGGCTTAGGAATTGATCAAGTGAGTACATTTACCGGAGGATAATTATTAATATGGTTGGCATTTGTTTGGAAAAGTTGATCTAGTTTCAAATTTTACGCTGGATGAACCAAAGGTGATTTCTTTCTAATAGATAACTTCCTATTATTGGAGTCTATGTGAGGATAAATAAAGGGGACAATAGTAGAACAGAGAGGTGCAATAGAATGGAACACACATGGGGGATTTTCTTGTAACTGCCTAGACATGTGGCAGTAGGAGAGAGATGTGTGAGTTGATTCTGTTAGAGGAGAGTGGGATGAATGTCAGAGAGGAGGCTTGGGAGAGATAGATAGTGTTAAATATCATAGATACAAGAGGAAATGATAGTAATCCTTGTTGTATTAAACTACACAACATTGGTGCTATTATATAGCAAACCAATTGAAGAATACAAAGAGACACACTCAATGTGGGACTTCTACACTATTAACACTAACACTCTTAACACTCCCCCTCAAGCTGTAGCATATAGATCATATGCTACAAGCTTGATACATAAATAATACTCCCATTAGGAACCAAAAACAACAATGCTACATCAACGAAATGAAATGACTAAGTACAACAAATCAACTGGAATGACCATCAGTCTGAAGAGCTGATAAAGAGACAGTGCTGGAATGGACATCAGAGCATGGATGGTGCCAGAATTATCATCGGCAAAGACAACTGAGCTGACCAGGACATCAGCATCAAGATCCCTCTCAGACATTTCATTTAACCGTTGGTGAGCAGCCGTGGTTTCCCCTTGACTATGCTATAAGCTTATTACAAGAAAGACCAAGTAACATAACATCAAAATAAATCTCCTAAATGAGAAACCAAAAATCATCAATGTGCTAAAAATGGCGTCGAAATGAACATCAACATGGAAGATGCTGGAATGATCATCGGCAAAGACAATTGTGCTGGAATGACCATCAGCAACATGGACGGTGCTCCCCCTCAAGAGGGACTTTTAAACAGTGCCGGAATTATCATCGGCAAAGACAATTGTGCTGGAATGACCATCAGCAACATGGACAGTGCTCGCCCTTAAGAGGAACTTCTAAACAGTGCCGGAATTATCATCGGAAAAGACAATTGTGCTGGAATGACCATCAGCAACATGGACAGTGCTCCCCCTCAAGAGGAACTTCTAAACAGTGCCGGAAGCAAAGACAATTGTGCTGGAATAACCATCAGCAACATGGACAATACTCCCCCTCAAGAGGAACTTCGGTGTCGGAATTAACATCAGTAACTTGGACAGTGCTCCCCCTCAAGATGGATGATGAATAGTATAAATACTCCATCTTGGGAAGAAAGAAGATTAAAGAAAAACAAAGCTTCGCGGAATCGGAAAAGTCGCCGAAGACGGCGGTGGGTCGTCGAAAAAGTCGCCGGAAAGTCATCGGAAAAGTCACCGAAAAAGTCGCCGGAGACGGCGGTCAACGGTGGACGACGCGGTCAACGGTGGTCGGTCAACGACAACGGTGGTCAACCCAACAACTTCCCAAGGATCATTGTTTTCTGATGTGACAGATCAGTCTAAGCTGCAGTCACAGAGCATACTAAGAAAAACCCGAAAAAGAAATAGCAACGGGAATCCCTCAAGGAGGGTGATATCTCTCTATAACCATATTGAAATTATGGAAAATAGAACTAAGTTAAACGGATTAAGATTCCTCTTGTTAGGCTCTGATACCATGTTAAATATCATAGATACAAGAGGAAATGATAGTAATCCTTGTTGTATTAAACTACACAACATTGGTGCTATTATATAGCAAACCAATTGAAGAATACAAAGAGACACACTCAATGTGGGACTTCTACACTATTAACACTAACACTCTTAACAGATAGAATTAATAGAGCTATTGGGCGGGTTTGGCTGTTCCCATGGCTGGGAATCTCTTGCAGTCTCTCTATTATGTAATTTTCATTTCTGTTTCTCCTTGTTTTCAAAGAATTCCAGAATTCTCTTCTGGGGGAAGGAGCTAGTCTCCCATTTCTCTATCAGTAAAACTCAATTACTATCACTCAAGTATCAAATTAATACAAAGAATTGGAAAAAAGGGAAAAAAAAGATAAATGTCTTATCATATTCCTATAGCCTACTATTGATGCATGAGATGTATTTGTAACGGACATTTTTTCCCCACACTTCTAGCCAGGTAATAAAGTGTTTTGCGATTCAAAATTGAAGAGTTATTTCTATTCAAACCATTTGTTGTTTTTGCCAATAGCTGTCTATTGTGTGGTATGCGGATGATCTAAGATAATTTGTCGTATGAGATCAGGAGGGTAAGAGAAAGATGAGATCTATCGGAGATATTATGTACATTTACATTGCTCCTGTGATAATTATGCTAGCTGTACTGTTGTATCATACATCCGCATGTACAAGATTATTCCTTCTAGTTAGTTTCAGAGTTTGTTAGATCTGTTAGCTAGTGAGGACTCATCTCAGAGTGAGGTTTCTGCTCTTCATATAGAGCTCTGTGTAATACATCTTTAATCAATCAATTCATTCCTGAATTACTCAGATTATCATGGCCTTTATTTCAGAATTCTCTCTCTCTCACTTTCTCACATTTTCTTACCACTTTCTATTAAGATGTGATATGCTATAATTGGTTAGTGATCTAAAGTCTAAACCTTAGAATCATGTTGAAAATTGAATTATTTATGTGTTCATGTTGAGATAGAGAGAAAAGAGAATCATAAGCTGATGTTAGAGAAGTATATAAACTGTAAACAACCAATTCAACCCAAAAGCTTAAGCTAGTGGGTGAGGGCTTTCTAATGACTCATTGGTGCTATTGTTTAGAAGTTCCTCTTGAGGAGGAGCATTGTCCATGTTGCTGATGGTCATTCCAGCACAATTGTCTTTGCCGATGATAATTCTGGCACTGTTTAGAAGTTCCTCTTAAGGGGGAGCACCGTCCATGTTGCTGATGGTCATTCCAGCACAATTGTCTTTGCCGATGATCATTCCGGCATCTTCCATGTTGATGTTCATTTCGACGCCATTTTTAGCACATTGTTGATTTTTGTTTTCTCATTTAGGAGATTTATTTTGATGTTATGTTACTTGGTCTTTCTTGTAATAAGCTTGTAGCATAGTCAAGGGTAAACCACGGCTGCTCACCAACTGTTAAATGAAATGTCTGAGAGGGATCTTGATGCTGATCTCCTGGTCAGCTCAGTTGTCTTTGCCGATGATAATTCTGGCACCATCCATGCTCTGATGTCCATTCCAGCACTGTCTCTTTATCAGCTCTTCAGACTGATGGTCATTCCAGTTGATTTGTTGTACTTAATCATTTCATTTCGTTGATGTAGCATTGTTGTTTTTGGTTCCTAATGGGAGTATTATTTATGTATCAAGCTTGTAGCATATGATTTATATGCTACAGCTTGAGGGGGAGTGTTAAGAGTGTTAGTGTTAATAGTGTAGAAGTCCCACATTGAGTGTGTCTCTTTGTATTCTTCAATTGGTTTGCTATATAATAGCAGCAATGTTGTGTAGTTTAATACAACAAGGATTACTATCATTTTCTCTTGTATCTATGATATTCAACATGGTATCTAGAGCCTAACAAGAGGAATCTTAATCCGTTTAACTTAGTTCTATTTTCCATAATTTCAATATGGTTATAGAGAGATATCACCCTCCTTGAAGGATTCCTGTTGCTATTTCTTTTTCGGGTTTTTCTTAGTATGCTCTGATACCATGTAAACAACCAATTCAACCCAAAAGCTTAAGCTAGTGGGTGAGGATTTTTTAATGGTTTTATATATCTCAACATAAACCATTGATGGGCCTTCACTTATCAGCTTAAGTTTTTGGGTTGAATTGGTTCTTTACATGGTATCAGAGCTTCGGTGTACCGAGTTTGATCCTCCTCGCCCTCCACTTTCTTTCTAGTGAAATTTCTTTCTTAGCACAGGTAAGTGGACTTGTGCATTATCCACCCTTCATGTCCAATGGGCTCTCGTGTGAGAGGGCGTGTTAGAGAAGTATATAAACCATTGAAGGGCTTTCACTTATCAGCTTAAGCTTTTGGATTGAATTGGTTCTTTATAGCTGAAAACCGTGTAAATGCACACTGCGGACAACTGAATTATATTAATGTAATAATGAATAGAGAGTTCCTAATTCCCCTTATTAATGTATATAGAATGAACCTGGACCTAACCAATCATATTACAATGAACCTGGACACTAAACTAAGCTAAATCATTACTTATCCAACGACTGAAGCACTATTTTTTTGCTGGTTTTCTTTTTATTTTATTTTTATTTAGGTTTGGTTTTAGAGTACATTTATCCTCTGTCATGTATTCTCTTGTTAATTGCTTTTTTTTTCCTAATTCATTTTGCTAATGATACAGGAATCCTTATGTGCTTTGGCCGTTGATGAATCTGATGACCTGTCTTCAACTGCGCAAGATTTCCTTGAGTATTTGTTCTCAGAGAATTGGAAACCTGTTATAGAACGTGATGCTGCTGAGATATTTATCAGGTTCATCTTTTTATTTGTACACAAATGACTTATTGAGGATGGTTTTCCCTTTATCTCTTTCCTTGATCAGAAACATTACCTCTTCCAAATTCAGGCACCTTGAAAAGCTTCCCAAAGTGGTGCTTGGCAATGAGGAGTCACTTGCGGTGTTACACACTCAGCGTTTACTAACAATAATATTTTATTCTGGTCCTCGTCTACTGGTGGATCATCTTCAGTCTCCTGTATGTGTTTCTATAATAATTTCACATGTTCTTGATATAAATTTCTGTTTCCTTAGATAATCATATTTGGTATGGAATAATGGAAGAAACTAATCAGTCTTATTTCGTATAAATTGGATTATATTGGAAGTTCGTATTGAAAGAAAAGATAACACCAATTGTATTTCAATGACATGACATCTCCTATATTTTCCGGAGATATATGATTGTTATTTTAGAACATCTAAAAATATCTCATAATATCATTATTGTACCATAGAATATTTTAGAGTATCTCCTAGGAATGGTTTCCTAATTTCATTATTTTTCATAATTTTTAATTATGATTAGGTGTCAAATATTTGTATACATAGGGATTAGTACTTTGTCTTTTGTATCACATCACTATACACAGGAGGATATCATTCTTGGTCTCTTTTATTTCCTTTTTCCTCCTTTCTTACCTAAATTCGGTAAATTCAACATTGTATCAGAGTGGTTCTGTCCTCCATAATCTGTCTTGTCACTATTTTGCTATCGAGTTCCCTAAAATTTAGAACTATTTTGTTTGGAATATTCTATTTCTCACTCCCATTTTCTCTCCTGTATGTGACTTTCAGTAGCGGTTCACCTTTATCTGTGGGCTTTTCACCAAACAACCATTGCCATAATCTTCGTTGTGCTCTGATTGGCCTGCCCTTGAAGCCACGCTGCCATCTGACCTTAGAAGCTCCTCAATGTGCCGTTGCCGTTCTTTCATCACTTTCTTTCTCCCTTGTCTGGGTGTCCTTTCGACTGACTTACCACACTGTCATCATTGCCTGCACCATGTTGGCCAGGTCGGGAAATCGTGACACCATTGGATCTATAATGTGTTTCTATATGCTACTGCTGGAATTTGACCATGCTCACTCTTTTTTGCACGTGAGAGCACGTTCAAGCTTCTTCCTTGCTGCTTTCTCCTTTGCTCACCTCACCTCAGTATCTCTCTACTCAACTCCAGCCCTCATCGCCTCTATTTGCCACCTTCTCGTAGCTGTTTGGCTCCCTTGGGCTACAACCTATAGTTCTTGTGTTTTCTGTTCAAATCTGATGTATTATCTTTCTCCCTCTAGTTCTTCTGTGTTTTGGGGTCAGATCTGATGTGTTCTCTCTCTCTTTCTCTTTCTCTCCTACTTTCCATCAAGTTTGACATCTTTGGGCTGTTTTTTGGTGCTCTTCAGAAACCTAATGTTCTTGTTAATTGTTATACAACTCGAGATTTGAGGGCATATTGGGTTTCGGGATTGATAAGGCTGTTGCATTTGAAGAGGTTTTGGTGCTTTATAACTTCATGGCCAAAGCATGCCAGGATTTACAACCATAATATAAGCTCCAATACCATGTAAAGAACTAATTCAATCTAAAAGTTTAAGCTGTTGGGTGAAGGCCATATTAATGATTTTGTATTATTTTTCTCTAATAATTGGGATTCGAAAAGAGATAAACAATGACAAGATGGTTTACATCTGATGAGAGAAGAGTGTGAACAACTAACTTTCTCCGTACATTGTGGTGCGTTGACATTATTGCTGAAAAAGTTATCCATAGTAACTCACTCAAAGACTCCATGCAAAAGTTCTTTCAGCCGTAGGTTTTAGATGGCAGCAATAATTTTCTATTTTCTGTTATGTGGGGGTGCGCAACTAGTTGAGTGTCTCTTGATTCGCTTCTGCCATAGAATTGGTCAAACTGAGCAGATTGTATATTGGTGATGGGAATGGTCGGTTTGGTTGCCATGTTAGGAGGTGTAGGAGTGCTTTCAGGCAAGTCTGAAGGTGGGGTAGGCTCGGTTTTGAGAGTGGCAATTGGACATTCACTTAGTGGACTAGGGTCACGCTCCCCTTGGTCTGGTCACTGTTGTGCTTATATAAAGGATGCAATGGGTGGGTGGTATTGTTATGATGATTCTTGTATGATAACTTTAAGCAAGAAAGCAATGGCATTAATAGTGAACCTGAAATATCAGGGAATAAGAGACAAGAGGCTTCATCCATTTTGCTGGCACAAGATGGTCAGTCTTGAGCAAGAGTTCAAGAAATGAAGGACGTTTTGGGAACCACACAAAGTCAAATTTGACGTCTTGTGGCTGCACAGATATGGTCTATGACTTCATGCGTTCTAGAAAGAGGTTACATGTTCAAAGAAGCTGGAAATTTAGCGAGTGCAGATGAAACAAGGAAGTTGTTAATAGGAGATGACAAGGAAGCTTTCAGATACTGAGTCATTGAGAAGGGATTTGATTAAACATCTCTGAACATTTAGCCAAGAAAAAATTACTATTTGAAGGACCTTGATCAGAACATGCATGCTGATCTGTTTAGCTAGTGAGGCTTGTTGTGTATACTCTATATTACTAATTATTGCTGTGACAGTGGTACCCCTATTGGAATGCTCAGTTTGGGTGTTACCTATTGACTCTTTGAGCTGGTGCTGACTGATGATAGTAGCAGGAGAATGTGGAGATTGTTATCTTTCAAGCCTTCCCCACTGTGGCTTTGTTATGCTTTTCATTGCTTCATGCATATTTGATATACAAGTTTAGATTTCATGTCTTGCCATAAATTTTCTTTCTCCATGGAGGCTATACAGTTCTATTGAATGTTGCGGTGAGCATTTCAAGAGTCCTATTCATTTTATACAATATCTCTCGATCATGTATTGTCGCAAAATCGTCCTTTTCATATAAAATTGCTGAACAAATTTTGAATCGAAAACAAATATCTCAAGGATAGTGTTTGCAACAAAAGCTTGCATCTGTCAAGGCAATTTCTCATATGAAACATAGTTACTCTTTGAGTTCTTAGTACAAGTAGATAACTCCCTCACAGCCTTAGACACTTCTTCTGACAAGAACGTTACTTGGATTGTTGATTCCAGAGCCTCACAACATATGACCGGTAATGCTTTACTTCTCTCCAATCTACATGAAAAATGCGAAAAAGAATTGTAAAAGTGGCGGATGGTAATATTGTAGAAGTAACAGGAGTTGGAATGGCAAGTATTTCCAAAAACCTAGTCCAAAAAGATGTTTTGTTGGAAAATTGTCATGTAATCTAATTTCTATTGGGCAACTAACCCAGGTTTCTCTATGTGCTGCTATGTTGACCCTTATAGTTGTTTCTTCCAGGATTTGGTCTTTAAAGAGGACGATTTGCATTACCAAAATCAAGGAGCAAGATGGATGTTGCAAAGGTTGATGACTCTAGTTGGTAGCAACCAGGATATAATGTTATGGCACTATAGATTAAGTCATCCGAATTTCGATTATAGGAGTGGTGTCTAATTTCCAAGCATGTCAAATCCATCCAATGGCGTACCAACCCTCAAGCATTTACCCTGATCCATAGTGAATAGGGCCTATTCAATGTCAAATACATCAATGATACATGACAGTTTCTAGCTTTTATTAATGATCACACTCATCTCAGTTGGGTTTACTTGTTGCACTCAAAATCTGAGGTAACCAACTTATTCATGCAATTTCATTCCATGGTCGAAAATAAATGCCAAACCCAAATTCAAATCCTTTGATTTGATAATGCATATGATTTCTTTAATTCAGACCTCATCTCCTACCTTCTCCAACACGGCATAATTCACCAAAGTTCTTTTGTCAATACTCCTTAACAAAATGACATTGTAGAAAGAAAGAATGACCATCTGCTTGAGGTAACCACTTTTCACCTCCCACACACCCATGGTTGTCAAACTCGCGAGTTTACTCGCAAAAACGCACGAGTTTACGCTTCAACTGCCCCTCAACGATCCCGTTTCTGCTCAAACTCGCTTTTGGCCCTCAAATGATAGAAGCGACGAGTTTTTTGACAAACTCGTTCAATCGTACGAGTTTAACGCTTAAACCAGAAAAAATTGACCCGTTAACCCGAATTTTGACCCAAAAAACCATCATATAAAAGGGTTTTTTTAGAAGGAAAAAAACCCTAAATCACCTGATTAGTTTCACTTCAGCCACTAGGTGACTCGCGAAGACTGGGTCGTCCCTCCGATCATCTTCTCCGATCGTCCCTCCGTGCTACTGGGTCGTCTTGCACTCTTTCCCTTTTCCGTTCGTAGCTTCTCCACCATCTCCGTCGTGCTTCTGCTTCTTCTTCGCCGTCGTGCTTCGCTGCCAAAGGGTAGTGCTTTTTCTTCTTCTTCTTCTAGCCTCTGTTTCGTTTTTTTTCCTTGGCCGCTTGCTTTCGTTTGGTTTATCGTTTGGTTTATCTTTTTCGTTTCGTTTATCTTTTAGCCTCTGTGTCATTTATAAATAGTAATAGCCTCTGTTTCGTTTTTAGTTTTTCGTTTGGATAAAAAAATCATTTTTGCCTCTGTTGGTCTGATCGATTTTACAAAAAAAATTATTTAATAAAGCAAATTAATGATTTTTTTTGCCTCTGATTTTACAAAAAAAAATTAAAAAATCATTTATAAAGCAAAATAATACTTTTTGCCTCTGTTTGCCAAACCAAATTAATACTTCATAGAATGATAAATCATAAATCAAATCAGATTTATTTGATAAATCAAATTACTATTTTTTTTTACTCATGTTTGCCTCTGTATTATTTTACATTCATAAGAAAAATTAAATTAATCCAAATAAAAATTTATTTGATAAATCAAATTTTTTTTTTTTGTTCTCTTAATTTTTGTTTGATGCTGGTCCAATTAAATTGTGGTTAATTTTTATTATTTGTTGTGAATTTGAATGTTGTATATTTTTAGAAAATGTCTTCAAGTGGTGTTAATAGTACTACTGCATGTGGAAGTGGAGGAACAACAACTTCTAAAAAAATTCATAAGAATGCTCTTGGAAGTAAGAATGATGTTGCATGGAGTTATGGATTTGTAGTAGATGGAAATGCAAAAAAAATTAAATGCAAGTTTTGTACAAGGGTACTAACTGTATATGTCTGAGACATTATTTTTGTATCTTGTGTGCTATGACTTTACATGTCTGAGACATTATGTGATTATGA